GTCCGGATGGCACAACAAACAAAGGCTCCACTTTGAGCCGTTACACGGAACAGGCACGGAAGCAATAAACGGGGCTCTATAACAGGCATTGTTTCGGTCTTTCGGGTCCTCGGCTTTCCTTGCGGGAAACCCCAACAGCCCCAAGCACGAAACGGAAAACGGCCATTAGACATGATAGCCTTCGTGATCGTATGCAATTGTTCTCGCAAGGCCCGCTGTCGACGCTGTTGATTATACCATTCCCGAAATAACGACAATTACGTGTAGAAAGATGCAGACGTCCATTCCGCACGCTGACAAGGCACTCGACACTGATACGGTCCGAAATTTATAACTACGTTTGCTAATACGCGACTCATCGCAGAGGACTCTATTCGGCGGTGACACGATAAGAGCCTTGTTTCAGGAGGATATTGAGTCATCGGTTTACGGTGGGATCTTTTTATAATACGTAATTGCACTTAATTGCATGTATATCTTGAATTGCTCGTGCTTTGCTCGTACAGCGGAAGTGCGAAATATAACCGACATCGAATGACTCTAGTTTTTCCTCGATGCGATAGGCACGTGCGTAGGGTGGAAATTTGTACCGATACATTAAGGCGCGATGCCTTATGCCGTTAAATCGTACACCATTTCTTTCATATATGACTGCACATTTTATAAAAAAAGGACGACAGACATGGGTGTCTCTCCGTCCTTTTTTTGTGTCCCCTCGCCCCAGGGTTATCATGCCTGTCCTAAACCAGCTCACTTCCCTACTTGATTTAACTGCACATTTTATACTGTAAAGCCAGCTTTTGCTTCAGGAAGAGTAAATAGCTAACTGAGTATCTATATCACACCCCGAACAACATTGGTAGTCGCCATATTTAAGGCAAGGTCTATATCTATCAATTCTTTTATGAACGTCCAGGAACACGATTGCATATTCTTTGCAGGTTGGCAACCAGACCCCTAGGCACAAACACCCTAGTAATAATTGTAGTGGTTGGAAGGTGGACGGTGCCCGCGTCTGTCCTCACTCGTGCACACGGGCTGTCCGGATGTGGAAGACGGCTGCGAGATTCGCTGTGCTATCGGTGTACGGATGTCTTACAAAACGGTACCTCAGCCGTTCCTTGGTGCGCCAGTACCACCCACTCTAGCCACCATGTATCATGGGCTCAACAGCTGCGATGCCGCGTCATGGCATCGGTTTCAAGTCTGCATTGCACTTCATTGAGCCACTTCCAAGATACACTTCGATGCTGCCTTGGTTGCTTTAGGCAGCGGTTGGACTGTTTTCTCCTTCGACCACGGAAGACTCCAGGGTGAGTAAAAAGTTATCCGCGCCCTGCCTGTATGATTTCTTTCATTCAGAACTTTTCCAAATCCAAACCTGCCATGAATTGATTTGCAAATGACTCGTTACATCATCCATCATCCACTATCATTTGTTTATCGGACAGAATCATTTCACGTGTACGCTCAGTATTGTCATCCGGTGTGGACGCGGACGGGCGTCCGGCTCCTTGTTTATTGCTGACACTTGTACGTTCTTTCTGTAACCTTTCAAACACACTTCTTTGCGACCAACCACTTCTTATTCGTGGTCACTATAGTTCCTATCGAAATGGCTGTCATCTGGATGAGCATCGTAAACAGCTGAACGAGATTCGATCTGGGACCTTGTAAGTAATTCTTATTTTTTTCAAATACGAGCGATACGAGGCCTTACGTCATACTTCCGCGCCAGGAAGGTGTAAGCAAGTGCCTTTATTGCGAAGCCGACCATCTAGTAACTATAGGGAGCGCGATTCTCACACCACGGTACTAGAATCACTGGAAGTTGCGAACACTGTGCACAAGGTCTTCGATAAATATCGCCACCAGACAAACACTCAAGCCACATGAACAGTGGCTCCCCCAACTTGTGCAAATCACAAATGGGGCAGCCATTGTTCTCCCACCTCAGTCACAACTGCTGTGCCCGGGGAACAGCGACCACGTAGAAAAAGCGCTGATAACAGTGTGCGGTAAACAGAAAACTCTTAAGATGATCGAAGTGTGGATAGTTTTTTTCATCACCCTCGCATATCGATTGTATAGTGCTCTGGATACGGCGCCAATCGCACGTCATGGCTTTCGGTCACTTTTCCTGGGATTTACCTTTGCTGGTTGTGGAAATCATCAATAAGTCGCGTCGGTCATCTCGAAGCACTGCGGTATATTTGATCCTTTTTCTATAGTCACTAAAAGCTCAAGAAGCGCAGGGTGTGGCAGATTATGTCCACGCTTCTTGCTTCGTAATTAATTCTTCGGCCTCCTCAGCGACTAATGCCGGAGTCTCATTGGCTGAGGAGCGACGATGCGATCCTTGTAACTCACCACACCCTGCGGTTCGTAAGCTAATAGTGACTCTAGCACTTCTAGACGTTTCGAACGAAGTTGGAACGGAACTTGGCCTCGCATTGGCTTTTCCTTCTTTCCACGTGGACTGTTCAATTTGCCCAGTCGCCGAGATTAGCCAGATTTGGCGTAAGTGCTGACAACCGCATGATTTCCCTGGCGCTCGCTAGAGCACGGTTGTCTGCAACCGAAAAGATTCCTACTGAACAGGAGGTGATCTGCGTTTTAGATAGGCTGCTTTATGAACTAGCAACATAACTTACGCAGGTAGAAACTGAGTGAGTAGAGGAAACAAGAGCGCGGCGAGGACGCCGAGGTCTGACTGTTGGGATTACTATGGGTTGTGCAGTTTACAAAGTAGTGCAGTGGACCAAGGCAGGTAACAATGCTCACTCGTCGAACGAGTTAGAACGCGGAGCGGCGGCGTCTGGCGTTTGACGAGTGCAGTGGAGACAAAGGGAGCGAGTTTTGCCAGCTACCTTTGTCAACTGCACTTTTTTGTCCACTACCATAACCTCCTGTATAATGACAAAGCCTGACAGATCGCCACGAGAAGCGGCCGCCGAAATGGAAAAGGTGGAGCGGCAGACAACGGATGAGAGGAGAGCCACGTGACTGGCGCCCCGCTGCGACGAGACGCCGAAACACACTTCTCTCGAGTGAACAAGTGTGTTTCGGGTACTTGCCGCTGCAAAAGCTGTGCGTTGATGTCCAGCTTTCCCGAGAAATGGCTCTTCGACGCTCTGTGCTACCATATCCTCGAAATCCAAATCTGCGACCGGGCACTATATGGCTCCGTCGTCGAACTGCCAGGCTTTGTGAGTATAGAGGAGTCTATGCCACCGCACAACTCACTAATCCTTCCAGTCAGAGCTCGGCGTACTGCCGTCCTCACGCGAACTCCGTTTCCTCATCTCTCTCACTTTCTACCTGCATAATTCGAATCCTTAATTAGTAATGCAGCGAAGACTGAGCGCAAGCGTGTTGTTTTGCGATGGGCCTGTATGCAACGGGGAGCAAGTGTAGTCCTGATGTTACTGTTACTTTAAAGGCTGACCTACAGAAGCGTCTTTTGTCGGGAAGGAAACCGGTTTCAGTTTCCTTCTCTCCACTCTCTCTCGCACTCTTTTATCCTCCTCTCTCCACGGGAACGGATCTCCGAGCTCCTCCAGACGACGTCGCGCAGGCGCACAATGACCGACGTTTTCTGCTTTCTTCAACGCCATCGTTCCGGCAGAAAGAAGAGAAGGTTTCTTTCTTCTCGAATGCAAAGGAGGAAGTGAGGGAGAGTTTCCCTCTTTCCGACTGCTCGTTGGCCTTTTAAGACAAAATTAAATAGAGAACACAAAATACTATTAATTGCCTCCTCTCTGCAGCTAAAAAAAAAATTAAAAAATAACGCTGATTGATCCTATGTTGTTGGCAATTGACCGCTCCCTCATACCCGAGTCCCACTAGAGCGACAAACAAAAACAAACGACAGCGACAAGCCTCCAACCCATGCAGCATGCTCGCGATGGTACCTTTGACAGGGGATTCGTCGTTCGGTGCTCGTGCACGTGTGATTGCAAGCCTGCCAAAATTACCCTCGCGTGCATGATGCTTGTGTTTCAGCATAGCCTCCTTTATTCTACAAAGCCAGTAAAACCTCGAAAGACTCTGGTTTGAGGCTTGTCGCAGTCGTTTGTTTCTGTTTGTCGCCCTAGTGGGACTCGGGCATCAGAGTGAAGCAAAAACAAGAACAAACGGGAAATTGAGAGAACTATTAACCTTGCTGCGCATGTTAGAACATACCGCGTTACATGAATAGTGAGCGTGGGTAACTGGGGTATAGATACCTTTGCAAAAAATCGCCTTCTGCGCGCTGCCATCTTTGTCTGCTGGGCTGTGGAATGCCTACCGAGCATGCGCTGTAACTCTGCTGTGCGGTACATCAGACGCTGCGGATGCGTCCACAGCTCAGTGACTCGACATTTTTCTCCGGAGCAATAGGCGATGCAAAGGTTTCTACTCCGTTTCGCTTCGGAACCTACCGCTGCCGACGCTGCATGCGATCCGACGGAGCCGAATCAAGCATTGGCAAAAGTGCCTCGCCAAGCCGCTTGCTGTATTTATGGGTATGCTACCGCCGACTAAACCAATCACGAAGAGCGAATGGGCAGCGATCCTGGGCTAAAGCGAAACGAAGTACATATGCAGACATCGCGTTCATGGTCGTATTGCTTAAAGTGACGCAAGAAAATCGGAGAGAAAACCAAGGCTGACTCTTCGACTGTCAATCAGGTTCTGTATCGACCAACACACTTGTCTATAAATAAGCCCACGTTTTCCCCCACCGGGTGTGGGCATTGCGCGTGCGCAGAATAGCCAATTTGCCCTAGGCGAAGCATCTGCGCATGCGCTGTGCCGACAGCAGTGCCACCGCAGTGCCGTGACGTCAGAGGGTTCAGTTGTTGGTCTATAAGGTTTTCATATATTTCCACTGATAATCGTTCGTCGTTCTTTTGACGTGAGCGGACGTCCGATTGTGTCAATGAAGGAGAGTATATACCTCGGTTGACCGACGACACGCATCGCGGGAGCTGAGTGCTCGATGCTGTAAATCACACCTGGTTTGACGTCCCGTTGAGCGTCACTGTCCGCCTTGTCTGCGCAGTCGTTGTCGGTGTCCGACGCGGCACCGTCGGCCTTGTCGTCCCCAGATTCGTTGTTCTTGTTCCGGGGTTCCCAGGTCATTTTATTTTCCTTCTTGAGCCGCCGACGAGCGTTCGCGAACCACGTGGACACCTGCGCAAGCAAAAAAGTGGAGCGTTCAATTCCCTGATTTAATTGTCCTTTCCCGCCCGCACTGAGTCGAACTCATGAACATAGTTGCAAACTTTCATAGAATGCGTAGATGGGCCAGTTGGTACATCATGGGAAATAAGCACCGAAGGTACACGGACCAAGAGTAGAATAACAACGACACAAAGCGCCACCAAGAGTAGATAAACAACGACACAAAGCTTTCCGCTTTGTGTCGTTGTTATTCTACTCTTGGTCCGTGTTCCTTCGGCGCTTATTTCCCATGTTGCAAACTTCCGTCGTGAAAATTTGGAAACGTCCTCCTCATTTGGGTAAGCGACATGGTAAAATTTACGGTCTCCATGATTCGGTTCTTGGGAACCGAACTCTCTCGCTGGGCCCTGAACTCGTGAAACACAAAGTTGGAGCCGAAAGTTCGCTGAGTGCGCAGATTGGACGTCGGCGAAAAAAGCGCAAAGTCATCGTCGTAATAGGACAATCGGTGCGCTCCGTCAACTTCGGTTCGAACTTTGTGATTGACAAGTTTAGCGACCCTTATGTGTGTAAATGCAATTTCCAATGCCTCCTTTATTTTTTTTTATTTTTTTTTTGCAGTATGTATTTTTATTATTGTTTTTAGCAGTTAAAATATCTTTTTTTTTTCTTGAGAGAAAAAATGATTTAGTGTTACCAGTTGTTTTGCACTTCCGGGTACCACGGCACTGCAGGTATGCGGCATGTATGCATGCCACCGAAAAACTCAAGATTTTGTACATGTTTTTTTTTTTTTTTTTTTAGGATTCACAAACTCTCGCGCGCACACGCACACATTATAACTTATCACCGCGAAATCATGACAGTGTGCGACTTTTCATGCTCCGTTCCCTTTTATTTTTCGCACAGCTGTATGCTGCGCGTCACATATATACGTATAGCGCAAACATGACATCAGCTGTTTTTTGGGTTTTACTTGAAAGATATATTTTAGTGCATAGGCAGCGCATTCTATAAGCACATTTCCCTACACAAGTATGCGCCGAGAAAGCGAGGGAGAGGAAGAGACGGAGAGGGACGTCAGAACGCCGAGCTCTGGTTCGAACGATTAGTGGGTAGACTTAAAGCAATAGCTGCCTTTGTCTCCACTGCGCTCGTGGAACGCGTTAGAGCGCGGAACGCCAGCGTCCGGTATTTGGCTTTCGAATTCGAACGCGTTCGACGAGTTCAGTGAAGACAAAGGCTGCTACACTCTAAAAACAAACTGTTCTTGAAACGTTCTTTGACGCCCCAAGACCTCTTTCAGCTCGTGAAGAACGGTTTCGCCTCAAGCTCTATCGCCTCCTGGCGCACTAGAATGGCAACAGGGCGATGAAGAACTCTTTCGCATCAAGAAAGCTTAAAAGAACCCCTATAGGTTTTTCAAGGACAACCATTTTAAGGGGGTGCTTAAAATAATTAAAAAATACAAAAATTCTAAAAAATAGAAGAGTCGAAAATATGGACAATCCGAAGAACCCCTTGGTTCTTCGGCTTGTCCATATTTTGCACCCTAACAAGTTATTTTAAGCAACCACCCAAAAAATTCTTCGTGGGAAAACCCATAAGGGGTACTTTTCAGCTCCTTTTTTGATGCGAAAGAGTTCTTTATCGCCCTGCTGCCGTTCTAGCGCGCCAGGGGGTAATAGAGCTTGAGGCGAAACCGTTCTTCACGAGCTGAAAGAGGTCTTAAGGCGTCAATGACGTTTCAAGTACAGATTTTTTTAGAGTGTAACTGTTGGTTTACCCTTTAATCATTTGAGCCAGTGCTCGGCCATCCTGACGTCCCCCGAACGCTATCTTCTCCTTCTCCGCCTTTGTTTCTAGGCGCATAAAATAACAGCTACCATCTGTGAGAAAAAAACAAAACAAAAAAAAACTGATAAGTTGGGGGTCAGGTGTTCGCGTTAACTGTGTCGCGCTCTGCATTACAGGGTGCTCGGGACTTTTTTTTTTTTTTTAATGTTTTGTTAACTGCAAAAATAAACTACGCACCGCCGAACGTTTGCTCTCCACCCACTTGAAGCACTAGCGGTCCGGACCAGGTACCAAAGTCTCAGAGTTGCCGTTTTGTTGGTTCAAAAGTTAAAAAACGATTTTCAGAAGTTTGCAATGAGAAAATAGGGTCCGTTCCTGGTAGCGGCACCCTTCAATTTTCGAACGCATTCGTGCGCTTCGTAGGCCGCATTTTTCCAATTAAAACGTTCCGAAAATCGCTTATGATTGTTCATTCAGACAACGGCAAGCTCCACACTTTGTCATAGTCTCTTTTTGCATAGTTGCATAGAATTTGTTTTTGACACCCTGTACACGGATCCGCTTAATTTCATCATTTGAATTCTAATGCATACCTAGTGCGAGGTAATTGGAATTGTTGCACCATTCCTTTTAAAATAGACACTGTTAATTGCAGGTAATATTACTTGAATACGTTAAAATAGTTAGCAGTAAAAATTTAATTTTCTTCGAAATTTACGGTGAAGTCGGATGCGTTTGGTTGCGTGGAACCTCGACAAGTGACTTGCCTGAGTGAGCGTCATCTTGGTGATGATGGCCAACATGATCTTCTCGCCTTTGGTGGGGTACGGGTTCTTGCGGTGCTCGTAGAGCCAGGCCTTGAGCGTGTTCGTCGTTTCTCTCGTGGCGTTTTTCCGCCTGGCGGCGCTGTCCATCGCTCCGTACCTGAGAAGTGTGCAGCCGGCCACCTTAGTTTTCAACAATGGTCTCGGTGTTCTTTGTTTTGATTTTTTTTATTGGAAAGGTGAACTTAGTGTAAAGTAATGTCGTTAAATAAAATTTCAGAAATGGACACTGAAGTGATTACGTTTTAATTCAACAAAGTCTGACGTTGTTAGCCTTCAAAGTGTGTGTGTTGTGCGTGTCGCCTGCTTGTGCTGTGTGTGTGCGCGCGTGTTTGTATGTGGGCGCGCGTGTGATGTGTGTGTGTGTGTACGCGCGTGTGCATCCCCAACTTTCTTGGACATCAACGCCTCGGCGTGTGCATTAAAATGGCAACTTCAACTGAATAACAAGAAACGACGCAATGCACCCCTGGAATATTTTAGATGACAGTAATAAAATATCGCTAAGCGGTAAATAAAATTTTGGTTTAATGCCTTTTGTTATCCGGCAGCAAAAGAGTGCGGAGATATTCGTGTCTTCGGCTTTACCACATGTGCAGTCGAGCCCTCCATTAAACCTAGAAGTTCGGGCCTGTGCCCACTCGTGCAGCCATTAATATTCGCGACTCATCGAAATGTCAGCTTGATCGTAATTGTGTTCCCAAAATGTGTGTCTTTAGTCACCGACAGCTTACGAAGTCCACTTATTTCTAGGTGATTTGTTTCTTTGGCATTTTCATCGAATCACGAAGCAAACTCATTTGCTACGAAGCCAATGGTTCCTTGGGCTCCCGCGCCCTCCCTTTCTTCAGCTGTCCGAGACCTGTCTCGGAGCTCAATGGTGGAGTAACGAACGTTTGAACACACACGCTCGTTGGGCAACGCCATCGCGTTGACGCTGCTGTCGGTACTGCGTATGCGCAGACGCTTCACTCCTCCCGAATTCGGTTAGTGCGCATTTCGGTTTGTGCCTTTGCCAGCGGCAAACGCACAAAGACAACGAGCGCCGGGACGGTTTGCACTCTTTGGTGTTGTTTTTGATTGACTCCAGCAAATCGTAGCGGTGGCTGCGCTTGGACACTTGGTGCGAAACGGAGTGTAGAAGCACCCGTATGGGTTTCCGGTGCTTTGTATTGCCAAATTCCGGCATTTATGGCTAAATTGCGTTATTCCGTGTACGACGAGAAAGCGTACCGGTCTCCATATGGACTGTACGCTGCTAACGCAGGGTCGTAAGGGTAGCAGGCGGCAGCGGCTTGTGGAATTGTTCCCCAGGTGGCTCTGTTGTCCTAGAAGAGAGAAAGAAGAAGAACAAAAAAGAGAGAAGTGTGAGTGAAACGTTTGATTGGAAATGGTTGGACATTTTTTTTTGTTCTTTCAGAAATTATTGAGGTTATTAATAGTTATTGCCCCGCAAACACTATCTGCTTACACTATTGGTAAGTGCAAAAACAAAATACCTATTATGACGTTCGCAAAGCAAGCGAAATGATTGCAGCCGCTGAAGTGTGCAGCTTACATCAGCTAAAACCAATACGCAAAAAAGGGATACTCAATACATGAATATTGGTTTACTAATTGTTTCTTGTCCTTAACATGTCCTAGACAGCCATTCAGATAAAGGGTGTCCTAGAAAGTTTTCAGGTTGAGCGGATAGTCCTCTTTAAAAACTAAACACAGCGCGAATAAGACGAAGGACCAGAGAAGACGGACGAAGCGCTGATTTTGAACTGATTTTATTAGTAAATCACGCACATCGAAGTGAAAAGAAGAGACAGAATTCCTTTCACTAAGTCATTGACTATGCAACCTGTCAAATGCACCTACGAACCCAAGTTCCTCGTCATATAGCACTATCGATGCAACACTAACAGACTTATCATTCTAGCACCGCGATATGAAGTATGCCTCTGCAATCTCCCTTTTTCATGAAGGCTATGTCTTCCCGGAAGGGTCGTATTTTCTAGCGTAGACACACACCCCCATCAGCTCCAATGAACAGCAAGATTGGCCGAGGGCGATGATCATAACTGACAGCGCGTGTTCCCTCAACCTGTCATTTACGCACCTTCCGGTCTGGCCGATTCACACTCCTTCACAAGATAGTGGCATCGACCAAACCGGAAGGTGCGTGTATAACAGACTAAGAGAGCACGCGCTGTCTGTTAGATCATCGCGATCGGGCAATCTCGCTATTCATTGCAGCAGATGAGGGTGTGTGTCTAAGCTATAAGATATGACCCTCCTGGGGAGTATGGCCAGCGAGTCACGAGGGAGATGCAGAGGCATACCTCATATCGCGGTGCCACATTGATAGATGTGTTAATGTGGCATCGATAGCGCTATATGACAAGGACCTTGAGTTCCTAGGTGCTTTTGACAGATTGCATAGTCAATAACTTAGCGAAAGCAATTTTGTAATTTGTTTTTTTCACTTCGATGTGCGTTATTTATTAATAAAATCGGTTAAAAGTCAGCGCTCTGTCCTTCGTCTTGTTCGCGATGTATTTAGTGTTTCAAGATGCATAGCCAACTCGCCCAAGTTTCTACCATTCTTCGGATAATCCTGTGCTACCAAAAAAGAATAAACGTACGGGCTGTGAGAGAGGGTTTTAAAATTATTTAATACTGCCAATAGGCCAACATGCGTATCGTGCCACTATATGGGGTGACGTTTTATTTCTTGCAACCGCTGTGCGTATCCTCCCAACAAGGAGCAAAGGGTGGAACAAATGTGTTTTGGAATGCAAAATAACATTTAATGACAACATTCCCAAGCGCTGTGCATGTTCCAGTGACCTTACATGTCACCATTAAATCTGGGTAAAAGCTGGAAGCGTTAGGGCAATCCAGATTATATTCTCAAAATGGTTTCATTTTTCCCCACTCTTCTGAACCCCTTCCAGCTTTTAAGTCCCGCGTCACTTCATCGAATCTCGTTTTTATTTTGAATTATTATAAAGCAACGAAACAAATTAATGAAGACGTTGTCTCCGTGAATGTGGTACTGTGCACGCTAAGTACTAAAAAAAAAAAAAGAGCGTCGCGTTTTCCAACGCCACCTTCCCAATTACAGTGGAAGGGAGGGAAGTGCTCAGCGTGGGTTTTGACTTCCCTCGGCGACGCCGTTGGATGTCTCTCTGAAGGGCAATCGTAGGGGGCGTGGAAACCCGCACCACTCTCGAAAAGCGAGCCTGTCCGTTGCAGAGCGCGAGGAAGTTCTAAAGACAAGATTTACGACTCGACGGCACACTCTGCCGCTGCTAATTACACTGGCCATTTCGTCGCGTTTCTCTTTTCCAAGCCGGTTGCGTATGCACCACGCGTACAACGCTGTACCGCCAACAAGAGGAAGATGCCCGAGAATCACTGCTAATGGCCGTAAGGACCTAACTTGCGTGTCCGCAATGCGTGTCTCGCGTTTTTCTTCTTCTTTGCTTTCTTTCGTCACCGAAAACGATGTCTTACTCGAAAAGCTGTGGGCCACCGACCCTCGAAGCAGTCGTTCAGTCCGTTTAGGGCGCCAGGGTGCGGCGTTTCGTTTTCCCATCACGTCTGCATTTTTTTTCTCTAGAATCTGATATAGGTGTCCTGGTGCGCCGCGGCGCGAATCTCTTTGGCTGTTTGTGTGTATTTCTCTGCATGTCTCGAAACCATTTTAATGATGAGTAATTTTCTTCTTTCGTCGGTTGGAGACGACGATGTAATTAGAGAAGATTAATATAATGTCTCTGTTACATGAAGTGGTCGTACACATTTTGAGATGACTTATGCTTCATACTCCCGAGAGTGTTGGCGTTTTGTGCGCCCCCTCCTCGTCCCCGAACCACCACCACCATCTTTACTCGTAGAAACCCGGGCATAAGGCATGCCACTCCGCTGAAATCTAAATTTTGAAAAAAACAAAAAAAGGAAAAAATTCTTGTTAATATAAACATTCTGCTCGTTAACCATATTTGTGTGTATTCATTGCCTTCAAAGTTTTGGTGATAGTGACAGTTTGCCGTATATATATATATATATATATATATATATAGTTGCATATTGCTTGTTTAGCATTTCTATTCATCTCTGAAATCGTAAACTAAACTAAAATAAAACAGCCCTAATCACTATGCGACCGTGCCCCTGCGTACACGTGAACATCGCAGCCAATACCGATCGCAACTACGAAAGAAGCGATGCTAAACGCGGTCACGATTTGCATCAAATGTGTCAATGCTGCACAATTACGCAAATATATTTATTAAAATGAAGGTTCCGTTTAGATTTATGGCTCACTCTTGGCGAAAATGGCATCGTGTTCTCATGCCTATTGTCTGGGACGTTGTCCAGGGCTGAACTTCAAGACTGTCTCAATAAGGTCAGCGGAATTGCTGCACTGTTTATTTGGAATATCATTTAGAAATATACATCCCTCACAAAAGTCCTGCTATCCACTGTTTTCAGAGCCAAACTGGACATTCTAATGACAGAATAACAAAGTTCTTTTCGGGACTAGGAACACAAAATATTTATCTTTATTTCATTTAAAGTGCCCCAAAACAACCGCAATGGTCTGTAGATCAGTGCACTTCCCGAAGAACACCGCAAGAAGCAAATATATACCGGATCGCACTGTAGACACGCTAATAGAAATGTAGTACAAAACACAAAAATATAAATTCATGAGGAATTGGTCAACAGGCTGCGGAACTCAGAACGAATACAGCGGACCGAAAGCCAAGAGCCACTAGCGCTTGATGCCACGTCGTCCCCTTATTTTTTGTTGGTCCCGAGGACATGCTCACCATACCATTCTTCATTCTTTTTGCGGCGTGCCTTTGATCATTCATGTTTGTTGTTTGTCTCTCGGATGATATCTGTTTCTGTAATAAACGTGATCATTCAGGTAAATTCCCTTCGCATCAAAATAGTCGTTAAACAACTTCCTTGCTCCCAAGACCTCGTGTTTTTGTAAAGGAATTTCTTCATCTCTACCTATATATACATGTATGTATATTTCCACCACTTCATGTTGTTGTTTCCTCCGTTCAGGCAGGATTAGCTAAAATTCCAACTGGTACGTTTTGGAACCATCATGATTAAATTTGTAATATATTTGCAATAATTAGGTACACATTTACGTGTTAATGACGTCGTTTTAGGTCTTTAAATAGCGTTGAAAATATTAACAGTTCTCCCGGAAACTATTTAGTCGTGAAAATGATCAATTTCAAACCACAACCAAGTTAAAACCCTGTGTTCAGTTATCATTATCACTACCACAAAGTGGGGTCACGTGACAATATAGCATTCCTGATTGGTTGCTGCGGCTTGAAACGACTCCGAGCTGTAGGAGTTGCTCGCCCGTTTCGATTCGGATCCGATCCCAGCAATTCGTGTTACGGCGCGAAGATCAATTTTCCCGGCGACCCCGAAACTGATCAAAATAATCCCTGGAGAACTGGAACAGCTGGGAAAATCGCCCCCCGTCTGAAGGGGGTCTGAGAAAACAAAGATAAATTAATTTGCATCGTAGGATGTCGCGAAACAGAAAGCAGAGATCGCAGAGCATCGGGTAAATTCACACAAAAAAAGAAGAAAAAAAGTAACACTAACAAGGGTCAGTTGAAGGTCAAGCCTCGTGCCTGAGAGCAAGAGGTATTTGGAAGATGGAGGACGAAAGGAAGATAAAGGGGGGATTTCCACCCCCTTCCCGGGAACTGTTGACTAAACACATCGTAAATGACCCCCCCCCCCCCCCCCCCCCTTTCCCGGGGGGGCGAAGCCGACATTTAGGACGTTTCTAGTCAACAAGTCCCGAGAAGGGGGTGGAAATCCCCCCTTTATCTACCCTTCGTCTCCGCATCTTCAAAATAATTTTGACGAGCCTAATTGCTTAAGCCAGATCGTCAGCCTACTTTCCTGTCGTGCAAGGTCAAGCTTCCTGACAGCAGCATAGAGAGGGCGCCTGATGTTCACAATGAGGGGAAGCAGAAATATTGGGGGGGAAACCACTCTGGCTTCGTTTGACCATTGTGAACAATTATTTTTCTATCCCAGCCAAAGGAGACGAAATGCTTTCGTCTTGAGTTCTGTTAGAGCTCCAGACCTCCACAGCGTGTCCTTCGGCTTTGGCTGGCGACCGATTGTCTTGTCGTCGCGAACACGGGAGGCGTGGGAGGCAAGTGCCTTGCAACGTCGTGTCCGAGCTTGTTTCGCCCGCGGGATGCCTCTCGATGGCTCTGACTCATTCAGGCAGACTATGTTTAACGACTGGACGGTCGGGGCGCTGGCCGGGGAAGGA